AATAAATTAATACACATAAAATATGAATCACGGGCTAATTCAATGGTCACCTAACACTCCACTGTGGCAAGATAGTAGCGTACTGTATATTTGACCCAGATTTGACAAGCGTGGTACAGTTTTTTGCGCGTGTCCGTAATAAGGCGCACAAAGGATTGTGGGGCAGAGTCCTTTATTTGCTGGCATTCTTGACTTTTGACTGCAGTTCTTTTTTATATTTTAGAGTAAATGCTTTTGATATGCTCTTAGGTTTCTTAATATCCGTCTGAAATTCTGGACTGTGGTCATATTTTTCGATTAGGAGTCGTATATTTAAATAACTCACCGTGACTAATGTTTTGCATTATGAAGTATATTATTATGAAGGTCAACATACTGTACTCTAGGTAAATATTTACCATCTCGTTATTTCATTATTTCGCTTTCCAGCATTTACAGGAAACGCTTCATTCTAGAAAATGCTATCGCAAAACGGTTGGAAATAATAAATGTAACAGCAGAATACGTCCTAGCACAGTCACTCGACTAGGAGAGTGATTGTGGTCCTAGTAATAAACTAAGTGACTTCCAAAAACTGAATGGTGTTTGCGAACTTCGTATTAGTTATAAACCGACGTTAGCTTCACGTTTATGTCACACCATGGAAACAGCCAAAAACATGGTGCTTGTTTTTGAGCGGAGCGGATCGCCAACCAGCCTACCGGCTTGTTATTATTGCCAATCAGCAAATTGTACAGCAATTTAAGCGTATGAAGTCAGTAAAACATGCAACATAACAATGTATCAAAACCAGACATACTGTCGCCGAATTAGACTCGCATGCATGTGTGCGTGTTTAGCTTATTATTTTTTGCTGGCTGTTAGTCAGTTAAATATTTCAGCACACTTTGCTCTCTGATTGGCTGGTGGATTCAACTGCCATTGAAATTCATAAATATTTATAAAGATGAAGGGAATGCCTTTGTTGTACTGAGAGTAGTCTGTTTTCTTGAGAACATGATATCGGGTAAACAAGGTTAACTGACTTCTTCTTGATGGCTGTTCTTGAGGCAGAATTTCAAAAACATACAACTGCCCACTCAGTAGTGAAAAAGTCTCTTTTGCCTGCATGCTTTGCATGTGGCATTATTTGAGAGAATAATGTTCAGTCGGAGGGGGTATGTAAAAATGTCGACCTTGTGTGCAGTTCCTGTTTCTCAGTGCACATACAAAATCTTGGCATTCTTGTTGCTATGAGTAACAGGTTATAAGAAAGCTGTCACTTTCGCTTCTGTCTTAATTATCTAGTAATAATAAAAAATGCAATTTTAATTTACTTTTATGTAGATTGAAAATACCATTATACTGAAATAAAGTGTATATATCCTCCTTCTGTCCACTGTGAGATAGGTAACACTGTCCTATACATTTTGGGCTTCATCAGTGCTGTCAGAAGCAACAGCACAGAGGAGATGATTTCGTGTTGAGGCCACCCCACCCTACCCTACCCCACCCTACCCTACCCTACCCTACCCTACCCTACCCTATCCCACCCCACCTTC